AGCTTCACAAGGTTTCTTACAGCACATTTGTCGCACCACAAAACACGCGACCGCTAGATGCGCTTGGCGTGCTAATGACAATTAACGGCACTGCAACCGCAACCCCCTTGTAGCCTGTCTATTGCGTGTTTCCAGAATGAGCACAAAAATGCACATTCCTGTATGTCTCTGTGCGTGTTCCCGGAACTCCAAGGTGTACATGGGGCCTTAGGCTTATTGGCCGGCATGTATGCTGGAAGTAGTCATGGGTGTGTGTGGGGTCCGCCTCTGCGGGCTCAGCCTGTTTGGGGTCCGCCTCTGCGGGCTCAGCCTGTTTGTGGTCCGCCTCTGCGGGCTCAGCCTGTGTGGGGTCCGCCTTGCGGGCTCAGCCTGTGTGGGGTCCGCCTCTGCGGGCTCAGCCTGTTTGGGGTCCGCCTCTGCGGGTCAGCCTGTTTGGGGTCCGCCTCTGCGGGCTCAGCCTGTTTGGGGTCCGCCTCTGCGGGCTCAGCCTGTGGAGTCCGCCTCTGCGGGCTCAGCCTGTGTGGGGTCCGCCTCTGCGGGCTCAGCCTGTTTGGGGTCGGCCTCTGTGGGTCCGCCTCTGCGGGCTCAGCCTGTGTGGGGTCCGCCTCTGCGGGCTCAGCCTGTTTGGGGTCCGCCTCTGCGGGCTCAGCCTATGTCGGATCCGCCTCTGCGGGCTCAGCCTGTTTGGGGGTCCGCCTCTGTGGGGTCCGCCTCAGCTCAGCCTGTTTGGGGTCCGCCTCTGAGGGCTCAGCCTGTGTGGGGGTCCGCCTCTGCGGGCTCAGCCTGTGTGGGGTCCGCCTCTGCGGGCTCAGCCTGTTTGGGGTCCGCCTCTGAGGGGGCTCAGCCTGTGTGGCGGGCTCAGCCTGTTTGGGGTCCGCCTCTGCGGGCTCAGCCTGTTTGGTGGTCGGCCTCTGCGGGCTCAGCCTGTGTGGGGTCCGCCTCTGTGGGCTCAGCCTGTTTGGGGTCCGCCTCTGCGGGCTCAGCCTGTGTGGGGTCCGCCTCTGCGGGCTCAGCCTGTTTGGGGTCCGCTCTGCGGGCTCAGCTGTGTGGGGTCCGCCTCTCAGCCTATGTGGGATCCGCCTCTGGGGGCTCAGCCTGTTTGGGGGTGATTTCTGGGATTGCCCTTTGTGGGCTCAGCCTGATTGGGATCCGGCCTCTGCGGGCTCAGCCTGTGTGGGGTCCGCCTCTGGGGCTCAGCCTGTTTGGGGTCCGCCTCTGCGGGCTCAGCCTGTTTGGGGTCCGCCTCTGCGGGCTCAGCCTGTTTGGGGTCCGCCTCTGCGGGCTCAGCTGTGTGGATCCGCCTCTGCGGGCTCAGCCTGTGTGGGGTCGCCTCTGCGGGCCTTTGGGGTCGGCCTCTGTGGGCTCAGCCTGTGTGGGGTCCGCCTCTGCGGGCTCAGCCTGTGTGGGGTCCGCCTCTGCGGGCTCAGCCTGTTTGGGGTCCGCCTCTGCGGGCTCAGCCTGTGTGGGGTCCGCCTCTGCGGGCTCAGCCTGTTTGGGGTCCGCCTCTGCGGGCTCAGCCTGTGTGGGGTCCGCCTCTGCGGGCTCAGCCTGTTTGGGGTCCGCCTCTGAGGGCTCAGCCTGTGTGGGGTCCGCCTCTGCGGGCTCAGCCTGTGTGGGATCCGCCTCTGCGGGCTCAGCCTGTTTGGGGTCCGCCTCTGAGGGCTCAGCCTGTGTGGAGTCCGCCTCTGCGGGCTCAGCCTGTTTGGGGTCCGCCTCTGCGGGCTCAGCCTGTTTGGGGGTCGGCCTCTGAGGGCTCAGCCTGTGTGGGGTCCCCTCTGTGGGCTCAGCCTGTTTGGGGTCCGCCTCTGCGGGCTCTCTGTGTGGGGTCCGCCTCTGCGGGCTCAGCCTGTTGGGGTCCGCCTCTGCGGGCTAGCCTGTGTGGGGTCCGCCTCTGTGGGCTAAGCCTATGTGGGATCCGGCCTCTGGGGGCTCAGCCTGTTTGGGGGTGATTTCTGTGGGATTGCCCTTTGTGGGCTCACCCTTGATTGGGATCGGCCTCTCTGAGATCAGCCTGTTTGGTTATGATCTCTATGGGATCGGCCTGTTTGGGGTCGTTCTCTGTGGGATCACCCTTTGTGGGCTCAGCTGTGCGAAGTCAATCTTTGGGTGATTGCCTCTGTGGGCTTAGCCTCTGTGGGCTCCATCTCTGGGTAGTCGGTCGGTCTCTGTGGGCTCCACCTGGGTGGGGTTGGCCTCTGTGGGGTTCGGCCTGTTTGAGGTCGATCTCTGTGGGATCGCCCTTTGTGGGCTCAGCCTCTGCGGAGTCAATCTTTGTGTGATTGGACTCTGTGAAATCAGCCTGCTTGGGGTCGATCTCTGTGGACTCCCTCTGGGTAGTGTCTTGTGGGCTCCGCCTGGTGTGGGGTCGGCCTCTGTGGGATCGTCCTTTGTGGGCTCCACCTGTGCGGAGTCCTCTTTGTGTGATTGGCCTCTTTGGGGGCTTTGCCTCTGTGGGCTCCACCTCTGGGGGTTGGTCTCTGTGGGTCGGTCTCTGTGGGCTCCACCTCTGGGTAGTCGGTCTCTGTGGGCTCCGCCTGTGTGGGGTGTGTGGGGCCCTTTCCGCCTGTGCGGAGTCAATCTTTGTGTGATTGGCCTCTTTGGGCTTTGCCGCTGTGGGCTCCACCTCTGGGTAGTCGTTCTCTGTGGGCTCCGCCTGTGTGGGGTCGGCCTCTGTGGGATCGCCCTCTTCGGGGTCGGGTCTTTCATCATCAGTATCTTCCATGTCACCGCCATCATTTTCCTAAAAAGAGAAGAATGTAATTTAATTCCGGTAATTTATATTTACGCCTCACAACAAACGACCCCAATGACCCCGGGATCCTGGCCGAGGAAATCCATTCAATCTGGGAATAGATGAAGAGATTCTTTCCTTATAACAGGCTCCATTCACAAAGCTCACACCCAGATGAGGGTCTTTATGGTCAAAGTGACAGTTATGTTCAGGTGATGCCAATGAGTTCAGAACCCGACGGTCACATGACTAAAGATCCTTCTCCTGGTGTGAAAGCTTTCTCAGGCTTCCAGATCGAATAATATCTTACGTGTCCATCCTGAGGATTCGTCGGCGGATTGGCGTTGGTTTCTCCTCGCAACAGAAAATAGAACAGGAAGGAAAGGTCGATCACCAATAGAAACAATAAAATCCAAGGGAAGTATGGTGAGTGGAGCCATTGGTCCATTGCCCTGACAAGAACGGGTGGGACTAGGCTCTGTAAGGCCGCCCACCCCTTGCACCAGGCTGACCAGAGCCCGGCGACCATCCATTGGAACCAACCATTGGGATTGGTAAACGAGGTTGGGTTTCTAAGCAATAAGCTGATACACATCCGGAAGGTGATAATACATTGGACCCATTCCAGGTCACTGCTAGGCCAGCGTTGGGCTGCGATGATTGGATCCCCAAGCACCAGGAGTGAGACTAGGCGGAGCCTAGTGCCCATCCATTAGTACCACTCACCGGCACTGGTAGGCATGGATGGGACGGCCATCTGTAGGGCGGCCCACAACCTGGACCAGTCTGGGTCAATGGCATCATATATCATGACAACAGGATCCTTCAACAGAAAGAAAATAAAATACAGACGTAAGACGGTGTCCAGGGAAGATCTGGAGGAGGCCGGCGATGGAAGACTAGGCCGGCGGTGGAAGACGAGGCCGGCGGTGGAAGACTAGGCCGGCGGCGGTGGAAGACTAGGCCGGCGGTGGAAGACGAGGCCGGCGATGGAAGACGAGGCCGCGGTGGAAGAGTAGGCCGGCGATGGAAGACGGGGTCGGCGGTGGAAGACGAGGCCGGCGATGGAAGACGAGGCCGGCGATGGAAGACGAGGCCGGCGATGGAAGACGAGGCCGGCGGTGGAAGACGAGGCCAGCGGTGGAAGACGAGGCCGGCGATGGAAGACGAGGCCGGCGATGGAAGATGAGGCCGGCGATGGAAGATGAGGCCGGAGATGGAAGACGAGGCTGGCGATGGAAGATGAGGCCGGTGATTGCGACGTTGGTCGGGGCGTTGGGGAGGCTCTCCTTCATAATCTCCGCCCTCTCCGGCTTCAACATCTCCATAGTCTCCGCCCTCTCCCACCTCACCATCTCCATAAACTCCGCCTCTTTCTGCGCCCAAACCTCGCGGGCGTCTTCAGCTTCTCTCCTCAGAAGACGATCAGCAGCACGGCGGTGACAAGCAGCGGGCCCATCGTGTGCCGGGTATTGTCACTGGAAACAAAACTGTGTCGGGGCGGATCGATCGATTATTGATTGGTGGGTAGAAATCAGCACCCAATACCGATCGCTGGAGGTCGAGTGCAACGAAATACAAAGCAAACAACTGGAGCTTCCTACAGAACAAACTGTCACTGCAGAGAGCCAGAGCCAACTGACATTCCCAGCCTGGGGAGGTCATGTGACCACTGTGTGGGCGGGTCCAAGAGGCAGCTTGTGTACCTTCCTGAGGCTTTCATTGGATGTAGATATGAGGGGGGGAGGGGCGGTCAGAGACTGTACTTTTTTTATTGTGCAGCTACAAATGTCTGAAAAAAACCCCGAAAATATATATTTTTTAAACTTTAATCAGATTGGAGAACATTTTGGAGCCTGCCTCTTTATAAGGCCCCACCTATCTTGTTCCTCTCAGCTCGAATTACGTCATAAAATGAAGTATATATCAATAAATATGGATATCAATAGAAAGTATTATCGGTCCGCGGATGATTACCACAGAAACGGCTCCTCTGCGCGGCTCCCTATGGCGGAACCCACTTCCAAGATGGCACCGGGAGACGTGTGACGTCACACAACTTCTCGCTGGCTCTGCCCTCGCCCAGGCGCCATCTTTGGTTTGGTTTACTCTATAGACAAGCTGTTTTTTTTGGTCTCCGGGAAAATGGCCGCCGGCTTAAATCTCACTCCGGCCTTGCAGACATCGGTGATCGGTCCTCTAGAGGCTGATGACTACCGGAGTAGAGGACTCCTCATTGACCCCTGAGGGTGGCTGAGTTCGGGGACACATGCTGCTGAGGAGAGTGCTGACCAGCTGCAGGAGGCTGTCCACCATGAGGCTGCAGAGCCCCGAGTTCCAGGCTGTGTTTCACTGAAGGTCTGCAGACCCTGACAGGTGAGACATGGTGGGGGGAGGGATGCAGACCCTGACAGATGAGATCTAGGGGCAGGGGTGCAGACCCTGACAGATGAGATCTAGGGGCAGGGGTGCAGACCCTGACAGGTGAGATCTGGGGGGAGGGGTGCAGACCCTGACAGGTGACACATGGTGGGGGGAGGGTAACCCAGACACTCCAATGACAGTTTCTGGGCTGTAGTAAATGTAAACACTGGGGCCCATCCTCACTTGGCGTGGCTGAGGATTGTGGGATAAAGTAGAAATCAAGGCCGTACACATTACTTCCTATACCCCCTGTCAGGTGTCCCCATTGGGCAGATTTCCCTTCACTTCCTGTCCCAGAGACACAACAGGAAGTGAGAGCAAATCCCTGCAAATCCCGGGGTGTCACCAGGGCACAGACTCATTTCTGACCCCACTTGAGCTCACACACATATGCACAGCACTTCCATGAGGCCCACACCACCTGCCCCCTCGACCCTATCCCCTCACAATTCCTACGACCTCCCTCCCCCTCCATCCTACGCTCCCTCACCCACATCTTTAATCTCTCCCTCTCCTCCGGCACTTTCCCCTCCCCACTGAAGCATGCGCACATCACCCCCATACTTAAAAAGCCCTCCCTGGACCCCAATGACCCGAACAACCTCAGACCCATCTCCCTGCTCCCACTTACATCTAAACTCCTCGAGCGCCTAGTCTACGCCCGCCTATGCTCTCACCTCAACGACAACAACCTCCTCGATCCCCTACAGTCTGGCTTCCGCCCCCTACACTCCACCGAAACGCGCCTTACTCAAACTCTCCAACGACCTTCTAACCGCCAAAGCTAATGGCCACTATTCAGTGCTCTACTCCTTGACCTCTCTGCGGCCTTTGACACAGTCGACCACCCCCTCCTCCTCAAAAAACTACACTCCCTCGGCCTCAGAGATTCTGCTCTCTCCTGGCTCTCATCCTACCTGTCACAACGCTCTTTCAGCGTTACCTATAATGCCACCACCTCCCTCTCACTCCCCCTCTCTGTTGGGGTCCCTCAAGGCTCTGTCCTTGGGCCCCTTCTCTTCTCCATCTACACCTCCTCCCTTGGCCAACTCATACACTCTCACGGCTTCAACTACCACCTCTATGCCGACGACACACAAATCTATCTCTCAACCCCCCACCTCACCCCTTCGGTCTCTGCCCAAATCACACACCTACTGAGCGACATATCAGATTGGATGTCGCTCCACTTCCTTAAACTGAATCTCTCCAAAACCGAGCTCCTGGTCTTCCCCCCCCCAACCCGGACCCCACCCCCCATTGACTTCTACATCACATCCAACAACGCCAATATCAAACCCCGCTCTGCAGGCCAGAGTACTTGGTGTCATTCTGGACTCCAACCTATCCTTCCAGCCCCAAGTCCAATCTTTAACAAACTCGTGCAGACTCCACCTCCGCAACATGCAGACTCCGCCTCCGCAACATCGCCAAAATCCGCACGTTCCTAACCCCAGAAACCACTAAACAGCTCATCCACTCCCTCATCATATCACGACTCGACTACTGCAACTCCCTCCTCACTGGCCTGCCTCGCCGCTGGCTATCCCCGCTTCAGTCCATCCTGAATACGGCTGCCAGACTCATTCACCTTTCCAACCGCTCCGTTTCCGCCACCCCCCTCTGCCAATCCCTCCACTGGCTTCCGATTGCGCAACGGATCAAATTTAAAATCCTAACACTGACGTACAAAGCCGTCCACCATACTGCCCCGAACTACGTCACTGACCTAATATCCAAGTACCGCCCAGCACACGCACACTCCGCTCCTCACAAGACCTCCTTCTCTCTAGTTCCCTGGTCTCCTCCTCCATGCCCGCCTCCAGGACTTCTCCAGGGTGTCACCCATCCTCTGGAACTCCCTGCCCCAACCCATCAGATTATCACCTACTCTCCTCTCCTTTAGGCGCACCCTGAAAACCCATCTCTTCAGGGAAGCCTACCCCACCCCCTGCTAACTTGCTGACCTCCTCCACTCTTCCTACCACTCCATCCCCCACAGCTATCTCCTCCTGTACCACCATCCCCCCCCCCTCCTAGATTGTAAGCTCCAAGGAGCAGGGCCCTCAATCCCCTCATGTTTTGCATTGTATTGGTATTGTTCTGTCACATGTTCTGTCCCCCTTTGTAATGTACAGCGCTGAGCGAACTATTGGCGCTTTATAAATACTGTATAATAATAATAATAATACCTGACAAAACCTTTCTTTTTAGTTTTGGACATAGTAGGGAATGTTTGTGTTTGCAGTCTGTGTCCCCCTGGGGGGAATTGGCCTTCACTTCCTGTCCTGGTGACACAACAGGAAGTGGGAGGAAATCCCTCCCTAGATGTGATGGGAGGATCTCCTCTGACCTCCTGCGGGGCCATTCTGCTGTCATCCAATGTGATGGATCTTTGTCTTCTCTCAGGTCTGTTCTCTCAGGAGAGGTACGAGTTGCGTATTGCGGGCGGAGCCAGTCCGGGACCTCCTTCTGGGTAAACAGCCGCATGACATCGACTTCGCCACCACCGCCACCACCGGAGCAGATGAAGGATCTCTTCCTGAAGGCCGGGATCAGAATGATCAACAACAAGGGGGAGAAACACGGCACCGTCACTGCCAGGGTGAGTGCGGGAAAAGACATGGCACCGTCACTGCCAGGGTGAGTGCGGGAAAAGACACGGCACCGTCACTGCCAGGGTGAGTGCGGGAAAAGACACGGCACCGTCACTGCCAGGGTGAGTGCGGGAAAAGACACGGCACCGTCACTGCCAGGGTGAGTGCGGGAAAAGACACAGCACCGTCACTGCCAGGGTGAGTGCGGAAAAAGACACGGCGCCGTCACTGCCAGGGTGAGTGCGGGAAAAGACACGGCGCCGTCACTGCCAGGGTGAGTGCGGGAAAAGACACGGCGCCGTCACTGCCAGGGTGAGTGCGGGAAAAGACACGGCGCCGTCACTGCCAGGGGTGAGTGCGGGAAAAGACACGGCGCCGTCACTGCCAGGGTGAGTGCGGGAAAAGACACGGCGCCGTCACTGCCAGGGTGAGTGCGGGAAAAGACACGGCGCCGTCACTGCCAGGGTGAGTGCGGGAAAAGACACGGCGCCGTCACTGCCAGGGTGAGTGCGGGGAAAAGACACGGCGCCGTCACTGCCAGGGTGAGTGCGGGAAAAGACACGGCGCCGTCACTGCCAGGGTGAGTGCGGGAAAAGACACGGCACCGTCACTGCCAGGGTGAGTGCGGGAAAAGACACGGCACCGTCACTGCCAGGGTGAGTGCGGGAAAAGACACAGCACCGTCACTGCCAGGGTGAGTGCGGAAAAAGACACGGCGCCGTCACTGCCAGGGTGAGTGCGGGAAAAGACACGGCGCCGTCACTGCCAGGGTGAGTGCGGGAAAAGACACGGCGCCGTCACTGCCAGGGTGAGTGCGGGAAAAGACACGGCGCCGTCACTGCCAGGGTGAGTGCGGGAAAAGACACGGCGCCGTCACTGCCAGGGTGAGTGCGGGAAAAGACACGGCGCCGTCACTGCCAGGGTGAGTGCGGGAAAAGACACGGCGCCGTCACTGCCAGGGTGAGTGCGGGAAAAGACACGGCGCCGTCACTGCCAGGGTGAGTGCGGGAAAAGACACGGCGCCGTCACTGCCAGGGTGAGTGCGGGAAAAGACACGGCGCCGTCACTGCCAGGGTGAGTGCGGGAAAAGACACGGCGCCGTCACTGCCAGGGTGAGTGCGGGAAAAGGCACAACGCCGTCACTGCCAGGGTGAGTGCGGGAAAAGGCACAACGCCGTCACTGCCAGGGTGAGTGCGGGAAAAGGCACAACGCCGTCACTGCCAGGGTGAGTGCGGGAAAAGGCACAACGCCGTCACTGCCAGGGTGAGTGCGGGAAAAGACACGGCGCCGTCACTGCCAGGGTGAGTGCGGGAAAAGACACGGCGCCGTCACTGCCAGGGTGAGTGCGGGAAAAGACACGGCGCCGTCACTGCCAGGGTGAGTGCGGGAAAAGACACGGCGCCGTCACTGCCAGGGTGAGTGCGGGAAAAGACATGGCGCCATCACTGCCTGTGACGTCACCTGTGTGCTGTGTTACTCAGGAGACATGCTGTGCAGAGAGATACAAAGCAGCATGTCCTTGCTGGCAGGAGAGAGATCTGTGCTGTTCACACTCGGGTCTCTCCCGTCACCTTTCCCCGATGATCGCCGGGTGCCTGTGGGGTGGGTGCCGTGTCGCAGTTCTTCTATTACAGGATGGAGGCAGCCGGTTATAGCGCCACCTATGGGACATGGAGGGTTTCCGGCGTTGCCGTTTGGCAGGCGCACCGTGCTCACCCTGACATGTTTGGTATCTGCTTACTCCGTACAACCTCATCTGTTATGTCTTCATGGGGGAATATGTCGTGTTTGTGTTGCTCGCTCTGATGAGGGTCTGGTGTGGATTTTGGGGGGGGCCGCATACATTTTCAGTGGGGTGTGGAGGGAACGTGGGTGGGTGTCAATCCCGTCCTCCTGAAATCCCCTCCCCCACTGAAGGAATGTCCGCCCTCCCCCACTGAAGGAATGTGCGCCCCTCCCCCACTGAAGGAATGTGCGCCCCTCCCCCACTGAAGGAATGTGCGCCCCTCCCCCACTGAAGGAATGTGCGCCCCTCCCGGCTGTGTATATATATATAGTCCGCCGGCAGATGAATGGTTACGGGGCGTACCTGGCGATCGATGTGCGCGCTGCGATCGTCCTCCTGTCGCAGATTCAGAACGTCTCATCTCTCCGCAGATAAACGATCAGAACTTCGAGATCACCACGCTGAGGGTGGACCTGACAACGGACGGGCGGCACGCCGAGGTGCAGTTCACCACAGACTGGGAGCAGGACGCCGAGAGGCGGGACCTTACCATCAACTCCATGTTTTTAGGTGAGGAAGGGGCGGAGCCGAATAACACGGCGGTCTCGGCTCCACCAATCTGATCTTTGGAACATTCCAAAAACTTATTGATATTTTTGTTCAGAAAAAGGTGCCGCTGAACTTAGAAAATCTGACCAATCCAGAGGAGTCCGTTCCCTCGTACAGCCCCTCCCTCCTTGTGTGTCATAGCTCACGCCTTCTGGGAGTGTCCAAGTACTGTCTGTGCTGGCCCAGCTCCTCTGCCCTTCCCTACATAGCTTTTATGTAGCAGCCGGGGGGGGGGAATACTATAGATCAGGGGTGTCTAACTCCATCTCATCCCGGGCTGAATCAGCATTATGGTTGCCCTGATCTATCTGTAAGACTAGATATCCAGAGAACCCCCCCCCCCTTACTTCAGATGTCAAGACCCCCCCACACCATCAGAAGTCAAGTGTCCCCCACCCTCCCTTACATTATCCCCCCTCTTACCGTGTGCTGCTGCCAGGAAGAAGCTGGGGGTGAAGCTGGGAAGCAGAAAGTGCCGGGTCTGGAGGAGGACCAGAGGAGGACTGGAGTCTGCTGATTGCTGAGACCAGGAGAGGCAAAGAAGAGCGGGTGCTGCGACTGCACAGAGAAGAACAGGATCTGTTGGAGGAGTTCTGTTCTTCTCTCTGAGATGGTGGGGGGGGGTGCAGGGACAAGCCTCTCCAAGGCTGCACAGATAAGTGTGGGGTCTGTAGGGGGAGTCCTGTCCTCCTCTATGCTGCCGACTGCTGGTTGGGGCCAGAGGCGAGGGGGCGCTGCGGGGTCAGAGGCGAGGGGGCGCTGCGGGGGTCAGAGGGGAACGGCCAGAGGCCTGGGCGGGCCTTGTGTTTGACATGCTATAGAGTGTCACTCTGAGCTGATGACATCACATCCAGAGATGGCGGCAGTCTGACGGGGGGTTTTGGATTCCTACACCGGGGGAGGATTTTTACGGGGAAATAACCGGAATAAATGACATTCTGTACACACATTGTATGGGGGGGGGGGAGGGGGGGGGGGGGGATTGTGTTCATATAAATGGTCCGGCAGCAAAGTCTGTCAGTGGACCTGAGGAGGAAACAAAACGGAATAGTTTTTGGGGTTATTACCCCCCCCCCCTCCCCCCCCCCTCCGGCGTCACGTCCACAGATTTCTGACATTTTTCAGCTTTTTGTGCTTCCTGGCACGCTGAACTGTAAGCTGACCAATTACTTGTCTAGTGAGGTTTTGGGGAGGGCCCCCCCCCCCCCCCCCCCCCCCAAAGCCAACCATAAACCTGCCACTATGCTGCTTTCATCTGATACTTTCCCGTTCTGATTTGTTACTTTGTTACTATACTGATCTCAGATGTGCGTTGTGGGGAGGAGGAGCCCAGGCTGTGTGCAATGCGGGGATGGGAGAAGGAGATGGGTCCCCGTCCTCCGCCCTGTTGGTGACCCCCGTCCTCGGCCCTGTTGGTGACCCCCGTCCTCGGCCCTGTTGGCGACCCCCGTCCTCTGCCCTGTTGGTGACCCCCGTCCTCGGCCCTGTTGGTGACCCCCGTCCCGGGCCCTGTTGGTGACCCCCGTCCTGGGGGCCCTGTTGGTGACCCCCGTCCCGGGCCCTGTTGGTGACCCCCGTCCCGGCCCTGTTGGCGACCCCCGTGCCTCGGCCCTGCCGGTGGTGACCCCTGTCCTCCCCTGACATTTTTTATTGCACCCCCACATCGGACAGGCTAGATCCGGCCCTTCTCGGGGGCTCCATAATATTTCATAAGAAGTATAACTGGGGGGTTCCGGGTGCCGGAGAAACAAATTTTCATTACCGCTTTGTGGGCGGGGCTGAGACACAAAACCGCTGCTGGGAAGCCCCCTGATTGGATTCCGAGAGGTAAGAAGCTGGCATGTGATTTGTCCCGCCACTGCCCAGGTAAGACTGGATGGAGATGTCCCTTCAATAAATGGCTCCTTTGTTTGGTGCTCCTCAGGATTTGACGGAACGCTTTATGATTACTTCAATGGCTACGAGGACCTGAAGAGTCACTGCATCCGATTTGTGGGCGATCCGGCAAAACGAATCCAGGAGGATTATCTGCGAATCCTGCGATACCTCAGGTGAGGGGAAAATCCATCAGTCTTCATAAATATCCATCTGCGGACCTCATGAGAGCGGTGGGCCTCCCAGCAGGACCCCCCCAATGTACAGAGCTCCTTGTATGGAGATAAACGACAGGGACAGAAAAATGTGAACCCCGAAAATCACACCTCTATGAACTCAGCGGAAAGGGGGACAAGGTGAGGTCCTATATATCGGCCTTTCTCAAACCAGGGTGCCCAGCAGCCCAGTGCCAGGGGGTGCCTTGAGGCTTCTTCAGGGGTGCCTTGAGGCTTCTTCAGGGATGCCTCGAGGCTACTTCAGGGATGCCTCGAGGCTACTTCAGGGGTGCCTCGAGGCTACTTCAGGGGTGCCTCGAGGCTACTTCAGGGGTGCCTCGAGGCTACTTCAGGGGGGCCTGAGGCTTCTTCAGGGGGGCCTTGGCAAAACGTCTAAAAATTGCCCAAAACTTGTATATCAGCCAGCGGGTGGGACAAGCCGGCCTTCTAGTTACACAAAGCCACAGGGTTTCCATTGTGCACCATTATGACCTAACTGCTGGCATCCTGACAACCAATGACATCATCAGTTGATAAGGAGGATGTCAGCTGCCTGCACAGCATCCCTGTTTTACCCTCCCCCGCCCCTCTCCATCAGTGTTGGGGTCACATTAGATCAGTGATAGATAAAAAGTGAGGGAGAAGAGTAACATAGGAACACTAGGTCAGTACCAGGGTGCAAAAGTGTATTTGCTTTGGAAGAATAAATCCCCTCTAATGTTGGGGGTCCTCCATGTGGGGGTGTCGCTGCGTTATATACAACTATTAGAATAGTTTTTTCACATTTTAGAATGGGGGGCCGCAAGACTCCATAATTTTAAAGGGTGCCTTTACTAAAAAAAAGGTTGAGAAACAATTATATATATATATATAGCCGGACCTCGCCTTGTCCCGCCAATGTAGACAGGATCCAATTAATCTCCCAGCAAGTCTTTGGAGTGCGGGGGAGGAAAACCGGAGTTATAAGGAGGAAACCCACGCAGGCACAGGGGAACATGCAAACTCCAGGCAGGTGGGGTGCCGTGGTTGAGGGGATTTGAACTGACGACCTGCGTACTACCAGGCGGAGGTGCTGACCATTTAGCCCCTGTGCTGCCCGGCTCTAATTCCTTCATGTGGGAGCGGTGAGTCTCCTGCGCCCAGAAACATGTCAGCCCCGACCATCACACCTCTATGAGCTTATCGGGGGAGGGGACAAGGCGTGGTCTCATAGATGTACTGTATATCACACCTCTATGAGTCTATCGGGGGAGGGGACAAGGCGTGGTCTCATAGATGTACAATTAATATCACACCTCTATGAGCTTATCGGGGGAGGGGGATGGGCGTGGTCTCATAGATGTACTGTATATCACACCTCTATGAGTCTATCGGGGGAGGGGACAAGGCGTGGTCTCATAGATGTAGCTGACCATATCACACCTCTATGAGCTTATCATGGGGGAGGGGAGAGGCGTGGTCTCATAGATGTACGTATATCACACCTCTATGAGCTTATCGGGGGAGGGGATGGGCGTGGTCTCATGTACTGTATATCACACCTCTATGAGTCTATCGGGGGAGGGGGACAAGGCGTGGTCTCATGTACTGTATATCACACCTCTATGAGCTTATCGGGGGAGGGGACAAGGCGTGGTCTCATAGATGTACTGTATATCACACCTCTATGAGCTTCTTGGGGGAGGGGGATGGGCGTGGTCTCATAGATGTACTGTATATCACACCTCTATGAGTTTATCGGGGGAGGGGACAATGGGCGTGGTCTCATAGATGTACTGTATATCACACCTCTATGAGTTTATCGGGGGAGGGGACAAGGCGTGGTCTCATAGATGTACTGTATATCACACCTCTATGAGTTTATCGGGGGAGGGGACAAGGCGTGGTCTCATAGATGTACTGTATATCACACCTCTATGATGGGAGGGACACACAAGGTAAGTTTTTACCATCCCCCACTCTTCTGGGAAGACTTTGGAGGGGGTCTGTGAGGTCAGGTCCTGATGCTGGATGGGAAGATCTGGGTCACCATTGGCATTCTGATTCATCCCGATGGTGTTCTATGGGGTTGAGGTCCGGGTTCTATGCAGGACTCCCGAGTTCCTCCACCCCAAGCTGGTCCTCCATGTCTTGATGGAGCCGGCTCTGTGACCCTGGAGGGATGTCTATGTAGACCCGCCATATACCGTATGACTGAGTAGAACATTGGTGTCCAGCTCCCGATGGTATTCTTCCGGCAGGTTCTACGGGAAGATGGCAGACAAGGCCGGAACTCACAGCCCGGCTACACTGGACGCCATCAGAGGCAATGCTGCGGGACTGAGCGGGATCTCGGGGGAGAGGATCTGGGTGGAACTGAAGAAGACCTTAGAAGGAAGACACGTCACTCATCTGATGCAGCTTCTGTATGAGCTGGGCGTGGCTCCACATGTCGGTGGGTGTGTCCTCTGTATGTCTCCTCCTTTCCGTGTGGCAGACATGGAGGACTACATATGAATGTCTTGTACTGTGTGTCACGTGTAGCCAGCAGGGACCAACTCCAAGAGCAGCAGCTTTGTGGTGTTAGTGGCTGTTGTGCCGACACAGACATGAGTAGCAGGGAGATCACATTACACAGATTGCAGTCCTGCACCTTCACACTATATTTTGGATCCTTGGATTGCTCTGGGAGGCCTGAATGACGTCATCGGGACCGAGGCGAAGGGACCAGAAGCCGGGGGATTTGCTAAAAAAATAGTTTGTATTTCTGTAGTGGAAGTTCTACACAAAACATTCTGCCCCAGGAGTCGCTGGTGAGGTCAGCAGAGCTTTATTCGTGGCACATTGCTGTGGTGAAGTGAAATTCCGTGTGAGGAAGCGACGCGAGATCCCCCGGGACGCAGGGCCAAAAGCTCGCCATACATGGACCGAAATTCGGCAGATTCAGCAGACATGTATGGCCACCGGGGTTGAACAGAAGTCGATCGATCGACTTCTGTATCCGTCCTGTTAGAGCAATATTGCTCGATCATTACTGCAGGCTATAGACTGCAGGGCGGACCTGTGTTTTTCTGATGTGGGGGGGGGGGGGGGGTAAGGTAAGGAGTCTTCCTGCTGTCAGAACACAGTAGCTCAGTGGGGGGGGGGGATTCCTCCATCCACATGGAATGTATTGATGGAGGAGTTGGGACTCCTCTATGGTCAGCATGAAGGACAGTCTGGGTTTGGCCAGAGACCCCCTTCCCCACCGAGATTTGGATGTAGCTGCATGCTGACCACAGGGCACAACCCCCAGGTTCAACCACTCAGTGTGGGGGGGGGGGGGGTCACCTGCACTGACAGGCAGAGGAGTGCAGGGAATTGTGCTGGCGCAGAGTAGACAGGGACTGGACTGCCAAGAGGGACTACGCTGGGACATTGAACAGCAGCGTAGATCCGGAGCCCACCACACGGCGGCGTAGATCCGGAGCCCACCACACGGCGGCGTAGATCCGGAGCCCCACCACACGGCGGCGTAGATCCGGAGCCCACCACACGGCGGCGTAGATCCGGAGCCCACCACACGGCGGCGTAGATCCGGAGCCCACCACGCGGCGGCGTAGATCCGGAGCCCACCACGCGGCGGCGTAGATCCGGAGCCCACCACGCGGCGGCGTAGATCCGGAGCCCACCACGCGGCGGCGTAGATCCGGAGCCCACCACGCGGCGGCGTAGAGCCGGAGCCCACCACGCGGCGGCGTAGATCCGGAGCCCACCACGCGGCGGCGTACAGATCCGGAGCCCACCACGCGGCGGCGTACAGCCGGAGCCCACCACACAGCAGGATTGCAGACCCCAGCGCAGGGAAATCTGAGCGGCAGCCAAGGTGAGTACACGGGAAAACAAACACACAGGGGCGGGGCTCAGATGCAGGCGGAAGCATTGCTTGGGCTCTGCAGATGTGGATGTGTCCTTTAAATAGGTGTGGCCCCTTTAAGAGGCATGCACCTACGACGTCATTGGCTGAGACACCTCAGACCGGGTCCAGAAGCAGCACCGAGCCAGAGAGGGACCGTGACCGTGCAGGAGCAATGAAGGTAAGTGCCAGTGGGCGGGGTCTGAGAGAACGGTGTACACGCCATATGCCCATCACTGATTATCAGGACATCCAGAAAACACGCCAAGTCCTCTGCCCGGTCCTGGTGATGACAACGCCTCTCCTGGTTTGTTCTCAGGATTACCAGAGGACGGGAACCTGGAGGAGTTTGCTCAGGTCTGTTCCCGAGCCGAACATTTATCACCCCGACCCATGACCCTCCTGACTGCACTCTTCTCACATCCGGACTCCGTCCACAAACTGGATCTGAGGCTGAAGATCTCCAAAGAGGAGAAAGTCCTGGCGCTGTTCATCCTGAAGGAGAGGCGGGATCTGAGGGCGGAGCACACGGACAGACTGCCACTGAAGCCCTATCAGGACCACATTATCGACGTGAGTAGAGTGACCCCCCCCATCTCTCCCAATCTGTAGGTGAACAATGGCGGCTCCGACTTCCTGACCACACTGGTCTTATAATGAGAATGCATCACTCTGATTGGTTCCTGATCATGTGCAATCATGGTGACCACATGGGTTTGTTTACAAAGCAATCCCGCCTCCTTGGGGGTCAGAGGTCAGACTCAGAGACCAGAAGCTATAGCAGTAGAGAGTCTCCCTCCCACCGACAGGCAGATCACCCTGGCAGATGACACGGGCTCACCCGAGGTGCGGGGTCTAAGCACCAACCGGTATTCAGCAGAGCTCCTGATGGTGGGGATGGGTTTTGCTGTATGTTAGTATCAGGTCACGCTCCTCAGGATCGCCCCACCAGGAGGTGAGCAAGCCGGGATCCAGTAGCAGATATTGCAGGTTGGGGTCATGCAGGAGCGTAGTCAGTAAACAAGCCAAAGGTCGGTAACGTGGTTGCAGGTTGGGACCAAGTGGAAGTGTAGCCAAGGAGATGAGGACGGCTGCAGGTACACGAAGGAGCAAGATATCAACTGGAGAGAACGCAATAATCTGAGAAATGGGAAGGGCAGAGACAAGGCTTACATCAGGAAGTTCATGGGAGGAGCAAAGAGTTCAAGGTTCACCAGAGACAAGGAAAGGTTGTCTGAGGAATCAGGAAGAGAGCCGTCCGGCACCTCAGGTGGCTCAGTAAGAAGAGCTACTGCTGGACACAGCAGAGGTTGTGGGTTCAGATCCCGGTCCTGACACGTGGTGCAAGAGGGAGGCAATGTGACAGTTACAGCCAGCAGGTTTGTAAATGACCCCCCCCCCCCCATGTAATCACCATAACTGGCTTCCCCATCATTACCCCCCCCCCCCCATGTGCTTCCCCATCATTAATGTGACCTTGCCCCACACCCCCCCCCCCCCCCCCATGTAATCACCATGACTGGCTGTTTTCCATCATTTATGACCCCCCCCCCCCCCCCCCATGTAATCACCATGACTAACTGTTCTCCATCATTAATGTGACCCCCCCATGTAATCACCATGACTAACTGTTCTCCATCATTAATGTGACCCCCCCATGTAATCACCATGACTGGCTGTTCTCCATCATTAATGTGACCCCCCCCCCCCCCCCCATGTAATCACCATGACTGGCTGTTCTCCATCATTAATGTGACCCCCCCCCCCCATGTAATCACCATGACTGGCTGTTCCCCATCATTAATGTGACCCCCCCCCCCCCATGTAATCACAAGACTGGCTGTTCCCCATCATTAATGCGACCCCCCCATGTAATTACATTGACTGGCTGTTCTTTGTCTTTAATGTGACCCCCCCCCCCCCATGTAATCACAAGACTGGCTGTTCCCCATCATTAATGTGACCCCCCCCCCCATGTAATTACATTGACTGGCTGTTCTCTGTCATTAATGTGACCCCCCCCCCCCCCCCCCATGTAATCACCATAACTGGCTTCCCCATCATTAATGTGCCCCCCCCCCCCATGTAATCACAAGACTGGCTGTTCCCCATCATTAATGTGACCCCCCCCCCCCCCATGTAATTACATTGACTGGCTGTTCTCTGTCATTAATGTGACCCCCCCCCCCCCATGTAATTACATTGACTGGCTGTTCTCTGTCATTAATGTGATGGGGTCCCCCCCCCCCCCCCCCCCATGTAATCACCATAACTGGCTTCCCCATCATTAATGTGCCCCCCCCCCATGTAATCACCATAACTGGCTTCCCCATCATTAATGTGCCCCCCCCACCCCCCCCCCCCCCCCCCCCCATGTAATTACATTGACTGGCTGTTCTCTGTCATTAATGTGACCCCCCCCCCATGTAATCACAATGACTGGCTGTTCCCCATCATTAATGTGACTCCCCCCCCCCCCCCCCCATGTAATCACAAGACTGGCTGTTCCCCATCATTAATGTGACCCCCCCCCCCCCCCCCATGTAATTACATTGACTGGCTGTTCTCTGTCATTAATGTGACCCCCCCCCCCCCATGTAATCACAATGACTGGCTGACAGTGCACAGGTGAGCGCTCCTAGTTCTCAGCTCATTGCATTCTGCTCTCCCCACCTGATCCTTCCTCATCCAATCCCCATCACCCCTCTATGATGACAGAACTTCTCACAAACACGACTTCCTGATGTTTAGGATTTCTATAAATCTGGGCAGAATTTTTGAAAAAAAAAGAGCCAATCACAAGGAGAGGAAAATGTGATTCCTGTACTTACTGTAACACCATACAGTCGGGTTATACTGCCACCACCATGGGGATTGGGCGCTGGAAAGTGACGCATCGTAAACCAGCCCCCCAGGGGAAATAAAACCACCTCTTCTACCCAGCATGCCTCGGCTTTGTGATAAAGCAGCACTAAGGTGATGAGTGAAAACAGAATGGTGGCCCCTGTGTCCCTCAATGGGCTTCAGGAAATCCTATGTTCTGTCTCATCCACTCATCCATTGGGGGCCACATTTCAGTAAGAAGAGAGGAGCGCCCGGAGTGAAGACACATTTGATGTAAGGATATCCATGTTTATTGAGAATCCGGAGTAAAGGCATTGAGCCAACGCGTTTCGGGGGAACGGCGTCCCCCTTCTTCAGGGCTAACATAAAAAAATGTACAATCAGTTTTTGTGTAATATAATTGTCTCTCTATGACAACAAAGTGTACAGATGGAGTTCTGCGAAATCGAAGCCAATAATTTGTGTATTACACCCGCCAATAAATTCCAATACAATATTGAATGTACGTGGTCAGAGAATGTGAAGGTCCCTGTGGGGAGGACATTGGGCTCAGCCCAGCCTGAGGAAGACTCTGATGAAGGCTCTATAACTATAGGAGGCCCAGGGTCCTGATTACAGGGGCCGGCTTCCTCAGAGGATCCCGTGTAGAGGCCCCTAGAACCTCTAAGGGAGGGTAAGCCGGGGTCATTCTTACAAACAGATGGCAACCACCCCACTGGACTGGCCAACTGGCCTTTGCAGTAAGGTGCCCATGGAAGGGCGACACACGTCACCAACAAACTATCCAGCTGGGAAATGTTTGGGACGGGGCCATTCTTAGCAACAAGACTTCCCCCACTGAGTCTGTGACATGGCGGTGTATCGGTAATGCAACTGGCCTCAAAATGCTGGGCAAATCCTCGGCTACAAACCCTCGGCCGCTGGTACTGGTGAGTGTTAGGTGGGTGGAGGTGACGGGTCACTGTAGGTCGGCAGTGGGAGCGGACAACGCGGACTGGAGTTGGGGTTCCATGAGGTACTTGCAATCAGGGGTAGTGGTGTGATTGGGCAAATACAGAGCCCGTGTGTGACACGGACCAGCAGATGACATCGGCGTTTGACCCCTCAGTGCGAACCCCTTACTGCAGTGGCGGTAAATTTAGGGCGGGGCCTAGCGGTTCAGTCCGGCAGCTCCTGGTGCTTAAGCCCAACTGGCTCTCTTACCAAAGTGAGTCTTCAGGGACGGGGTCGTGTTCTGGGGTGTTGTAAGGCTTTGGACTTGGAAAGCGCTCTCCAGTCGCCTTTTACCAGCAGAGCCCAGAGGTGCCATTCCAGGCTCGCCCCGCCATCCAGTCCAGTGGGGTCCAGGAATGGCCTCCAAGGTCAGGCTGAGGAAAGGCCGATCCAGGCAGCTGCAATGTAATGAGAAATATTGACTGAAGTCAATGCAGAATGGAATCCACAAAGTCACGGAAAGTATGTGAGGCTCCTCTCAGCAGAGCCGGGGAAGAGATGTTTGTCCTCCAAGGACACTAGCAAAAACCGAGGCATGCTGGGTAGAGGAGGAGTTATGGCGGGGGGCTGTCTTACAGTTTTCCTGTGTCCCAGTGCTCAGTCCTCCTGTGGGCGGCAGTATAACCCGCCTGCATCTGAATCCCTGTGTCCTCGGGGGACGGAGAGGAAATACAAGCTTTGTAGAGTTGTAGACACAGAGGATGGAGATGACACAACGCTTCGTGTTGCAATGATGTACTTTTGTATCAATTCCTCAAACAAAAGTCACACATAAACAAAGGAGGTCACGGCCCGGACCAAAAAGGGCGATCTCTACATGTCACCTCTGATAGTTACTGAACACTGCGATGTATCCCACAATGCACAGCGACCTATTGGTGTGACCCCCCCCCCCCTTTTCCCTAGAGAGCTGGGAGGATGGCCCTGTGGGATCTGGGGGGGGGGGGGTGTCAGGAGGAACAGGCAGTATTACCTACCCACTCCGGCTGGCCCTAGTGGTCTGCTCCTCTCTGGTACTCGGGGTAGTTCCCCCCCCCCCCCCCCCCCATAATCCTGAACAATGCAAGCTATTAACCCTGCATGGTACATGGAGGAGGCAGGCATGTGACCACGGCCAGGAGCACCTCAGAGAGGAGACTCCATGGTCGCAGTTGCACGGATGGAGTGACCACGGCCAGGAGCACCTCAGAGAGGAGACTCCATGGGAGCAGTTGCACGGATGGAGTGACCACGGCCAGGAGCACCTCAGAGAGGAGACTCCATGGGAGCAGTTGCACGGATGGAGTGACCACGGCCAGGAGTAAGGCTAGCATTGCTCCTTATCCTTGTACCTCTTGCTGAGCAGTGAACCCTTGCAGTGTGGGGGAGGGGGGCAGACAGGGCTGTGTGTGAATGAAGTCAATGGCTGTGTGTGAATGAAGTCAATGGAGGAACTGCAGATATACAAATACTCACAAGAGCTTTTAGCTCCAACATCCTAAAGATTCAACGTTCAGATCTTTATCTTCTCCATTTCTCTCTCCCAGTCCCGAGAGTTGGATATCCAGAAGAAGGTGTGTGAACTGCTGAAGTACCAAGGAGAAGAGCGGCTCCTGAAGGAGATGGAAAGCTGGACTCTTCCTCGCTTCCCGGTCAGTGGGCACGACCTCCGCCGATTGGGGATCTCTTCAGGGAAGGAGATCGGGAGGATCCTGCAGGAACTCCGGGGAGCAGTGGAAGAAGAGCGGGTACCGGAGCGACAAAGAGGAACTTCTGAACAGCGTTCATGGGAAGGGGTCCTGAATGTGGGGGAAGGGGTCCGGAATGTGGGGGAAGGGGTCCTGAATGTGGGGTCAGGAACACAGTACTGTGCGCATCACTTGGAGGGGTTCTCCAGGAACAAGTTATGTTCTGCACTCAGAGGAGGCTGCTTAGTGGCCTCTAGTCTACGGACCATTATGTCCCACCAACACATCTGCTGTTCCTTCTGCCCCCCAAGGGGACAAAGTGGGGGCAGGAGGAGTAATGTCCCATTTTGATAGGTGCTGTGAATATGGAGCTAGCATGGTCCATTTGGAGTTTGTTGAATGACTTGTATGCGCGTTCAACAGCACCCCCCCCCCCCCACTGTTTGACCATGCTGCTCGTAGGAAACTAAATTAAGTTTTTGATTCCAAGTGCTTGTCTCTGCATCCCGGTGCTTGTCCAGGACCAGCGCTGTCACTACTCATGCAGGGGAATGAGGATGCCGGTCAGTGTGACTGCAACACACATCGTACTGACCGACAGGAGCACTAACAGGCAGAGGGGGAGGAGAGAAACAGCTCCACACTAGGAACAGCCACAAATCGGGCTTCATGCGGGGAGGAGCTGATGGGCAATAATAGCCGCCATAATTATGTGATTTACTGGAGAAGCGTTCAGTGTTTCTTTTGACAAGCAGAGAGAAGTATTTTATCATGAATTAATATTCTGAAATTTATCTTTTTGAGGCTTCTTTAAAGCTGAACTCCAGTATGATAGTAAATGGATGCGTACAATGGCCACCTTGTGGGTTATCTGGAGCATGCTCTGCTGCTCAGTTCCTTCAACCATAAATCCATCCCTTGGTGTAGGTTCAGTGATGGCCGCTGGCCGTACGTCTTACCTCCACCATAAATCCATACCTCGGTGTAGGTTCAGTAATGGCCGCTGGCCCCGTACGTCTTACCTCCACCATAAATCCATCCCCCTTGGTGTAGGTTCAGTAATGGCCGCTGGCCCCGTACGCCTTACCTCCACCATAAATCCATCCCTTGGTGTAGGTTCAGTAATGGCCGCTGGCCCCGTACGTCTTACCTCCATCATAAATCCATCCCTCGGTGTAGGTTCAGTGATGGCCGCTGGCCCCGTACGTCTTACCTCCATCATAAATCCATACCTCGGTGTAGGTTCAAGAATGGCCGCTGGCCCCGTACGTCTTACCTCCATCATAAATCCATCCCTCAGTGTAGGTTCAATAATGGCCGCTGGCCCCGTACGCCTTACCTCCACCATAAATCCATCCCTCGGTGTAGGTTCAGTAATGGCCGCTGGCCCCGTACGTCTTACCTCCACCATAAATCCATCCTCAGTGTAGGTTCAGTAATGGCCGCTGGCCCCGTACGTCTTACCTCTGTCCATAGCGCAGGGTGACCAATCGTGTAATAGCCCCTCATGGTGCTCAGGCTGCAGCACTGATGCCATTGCCATTGGTGGATACCTTCTACAGATCCCGCTAGGGTTTTCCTTTGCCTGTCCTGCTCAGCCATTGGGCAACACCTAGAGACCCGCCCACTGCATAGAGCGTCAGTCAGGTGCCCAAGGGATGTGACGTTGAGCGCCTTACAGATCCTCCTCCCTGCGGCCAGAGATTGATTCAATGTTTGTAGAATGATGATGTCACAGCCAGTAAAAGTAACATTTTGTTGGCTCTGCATCCACTTATTGAGAACATTTTGGGGTGTAAATGGGGGAGGGGGAGCTTTATATTGAACATTCAGTTCATCCTGGAGTTCAGCTGCTGATCTGAAGTCTGAGCCCTGAATGTAAGTTGCATTGAGGCAGACGAGGTGTCGGGGCTTCACCCCATAATGTGCCTTACAGGACAGCCGCTCCATGTGTGTGGTGGATTCGCATCGCATTGCCATTTATTATTGTTCATTGCACCCCAATGTTCTGCCTGCTGAGATGCTCTGCGGTGTGCGATGTTCTGAGACACAAGAGCCAGTTCTTCCCCAGCCCCTTATAAAATGAACAGGGACGAGGAAAAGGTAACTCCCGACAACCATTCTGCCCTACAGAGAGCTGTATTGTTAGAGGGATGGACGGGAGGGAAGGACGGGAGGGATGGACAATGGGCCTGAATTCCAAATGAGAGGCAACACTGTCAACGGGGGGTAACCTTTGTTGGGGGGTGGCGATAATCTAAGCAGGGGTGTCAAAGTGGCGGCCCTCCAGCTGTTGCCAAACTACAGGTCCCATCATGCCTCTACCTTTGGGAGTCATGCTTGTAATGGTCAATCTTGCAATGCCTCATGGGACTTGTAGTTTGGCAACAGCTGGAGGGCCGCCACTTTGACACCCAAATGATCGAACGGGGATGACATCACCAAGTCTGATCAAAGTCGTCTTTATGGCAAAAAGAAGAGGAATCCGATGCATTTCGGGGGCCGAGTCCCCCTTCATCAGGGCTTCATATCTGGATGTAAATTAGGCCAAAAATAATTGGAAATAAATTGCAGAATGAAAGTAAACGAATACAAAGCCAGCGCTCTTCTCAGCGTCCGGTGCTGGCGCTCCACCCCGTTCTCCTTGTATTGCGGAATACAGGGATATTAACTACAGTGATGGGGGGGGGGGAGGGGGGCTGATCAGGTATCATCAATACCTTTAATATGCAATTATTTTAATGTTTATGTGTGCAGTATTCCTCTTATCTGGAGCCTCAGGTGACGGGTGACCCTCTGACCCCAACAAACATTGAATTATTTTTTTGTTTTATTGTGCAATAACTGAATAGACTGACTTTGCTCTTAACCTTCAACCTTTCTGCCCTGGATCTGATGATTTCACACACACCACTGAGATAACAGACCCAACTTTACCTGTCCTTGGAGAACCAGAGAACCCCTCCACCCAGATAACAGCCCAACTTATCCTCATCCCTGGAGAACCAGAGCACCCCTCCACCCAGATAACAGCCCAATGGCGCTCCACCCCGTTCTCCTTGTATTGCGGAATACAGGGATATGTATCTATCCTTATCCTCTTATCCTCATCCCTGGAGAACCAGAGAACCCCTCCACCCAGATAACAGCCCAACTTATCCCTCATCCCTGGAGAACCAGAGCACCCCTCCACCCAGATACAGCCCAACTTATCCTCATCCCTGGGACCCAGAGAACCAGAGAACCCCTCCACCCAGATAACAGCCCAACTTATCCTCATCCCTGGAGAACCAGAGAACCCCTCCACCCAGATAACAGCCAAACTTATCCCATCCCTGGGGAACCAGAGAACCCCTCCACCCAGATAACAGCCCAACTTATCCCATCCTGGGGAACCAGAGAACCCTCCACCCAGATAACAACTTATCCCCTCCACCCAGACCCCTCCACCCAGACAACAGCCCAACTTATCCCCATCCCTGGGGAAGCCCAACAGAGGATCCCAGAGAATCCCTCCACCCAGACAACAGCCCAGCTTATCCCTGGAGATCCAGAGAACCCCTCCACCCAGATAACAGCCCAACTTATCCCATCCCTGGAGAACCAGAGAATCCCTCCACCCAGACAACAGCCCAACTTATTCCCATCCCTGGAGAACCAGAGAACCCCTCCACCCAGATAACAGCCCAACTTGTCCTCATCCCTGGAGAACCAGAGAACCCCTCCACCCAGATAACAGCCCAACTTGTCCTCATCCCTGGAGAACCAGAGAACTCCTCCACCCAGATAACAGCCCAGTTCATTTCCATCCCTGGAGAACCCCTCTACCCAGCCAGCACACAATGTCCGCTCATATCATGTGACTTTTAAAGGAATGTAATTGGCCAGACACACTGAGCAAAGCGGTCACCTACAGGTTCATGTAAATGTCGTTATTTCTGAACCCCGATAATAAAAACTATTTTTTTATGTTATTCCTCGTTCATGTATTCTGTATTCAGACTGAGGACCAGATGGAGCAATAAATCAGGCAGCCAGCGGTACATTCTCCAGCATATAGAGCTTTTGGCTTCATATATTTTATTTCTATGTTCTATAGACATCGATCGTTTTGCAGTGCAATAGTCACTTCTGGTTCAACAGAAAAAAAAATGTACATTAAAAAAAAAAAAAAGATCGCCCAGCACACGGTGTTATAGGGAGAGGAGGCGGGGCAAGCCTAGAGCGGGAGTGCTTCCTAACGGATCCACCAATCAGATCTCGGTGTTGTATATACAGCTGGGGGGGGGGGGGGGGGGGTCTGGACTCTTCCTCTCATTGCACTGTACAGGGTTCTTCAGTAAGGCGAGAACGTGATAACGGACGGCAACCAGATTTCTGAAGCGGCTCGCTGTAGATCAGCACACAGCATCGTTTCAATGGCGGCCGAATCAGATCAACTTTTACATCAAATGAAGAACATCAGAGAAACAAAGAGAAGATTCTGAGTGTACAATAGGAAGAAATCATCACATGACCTCTGTATTATATAATATAATCCCTTAAAGCGAACCTTCCAGCGAAATCCACCATCACCCCAGCGGAGGGGCCTACAGCTGGCGGTCAGCGAAATCCACCATCACCCCAGCGGAGGGGCTTACAGCTGGCGGTCAGCGAAATCCACCATCACCCCAGCGGAGGGGCCTACAGCTGGCGGTCAGCGAAATCCACCATCACCCCAGCGGAGGGGCCTACAGCTGGCGGTCAGCGAAATCCACCATCACCCCAGCGGATTGGCTTACAGCTGGCGGTCAGCGAAATCCACCATCACCCCAGCGGAGGGGCCTACAGCTGGCGGTCAGCAAAATCCATCATCACCCCAGTGGAGGGGCTTACAGCCGGCGGTCAGTGATCCTTCCAGGGAAATCCACCATCACCCCAGTGGAGGGGCTTACAGCCAGCGGTCAGTGATCCTTCCAGGGAAATCCATCATCACCCCAGTGGAGGGGCTTACAGCCGGCGGTCATCGAACCTTCCAGTGAAATCCACCATCACCCCAGCAGAGGGGCCTACAGCTGGTGGTCAGCGAAATCCATCATCACCCCAGCGGAGGGGCTTACAGCCAGCGGACCTTCCAGGGAAATCCACCATCACCCCAGCAGAGGGGCCTACAGCTGGTGGTCAGCGAAATCCATCATCACCCCAGCGGAGGGGCCTACAGCTGGCGGTCAGCAAAATCCATCATCACCCCAGCGGAGGGGCTTACAGCCAGCGGACCTTCCAGGGAAATCCACCATCACCCCAGCAGAGGGGCCTACAGCTGGTGGTCAGCGAAATCCATCATCACCCCAACGGAGGGGTTCACAGCCGGCGGTCAGCGAACCTTCCAGCGAAATCCACCATCACCCCAGCGGAGGGGCCTAGAGCTGGCGGTCAGCGAAATCCACCATCACCCCAGCGGAGGGGCTTACAGCTGGCGGTCAGTAAAATCCATCATCACCCCAACGGAGGGCTTACAGCCGGCGGTCAGTGATCCTTCCAGGGAAATCCATCATCACCCCAGTGGAGGGGTTCACAGCCGGCGGTCAGCGAACCTTCCAGGGAAGTCCACCATCACCCCAGCAGAGGGGCTTACAGCCGGCGGTCAGCGAAATCCATCATCACCCCAGCGGAGGGGCTTACAGCCGGCGGTCAGTATTGGGACGAACGTGATTTGGCTCAAAATGTATTAAACATGAAAAATACAACCTTACAAAATTTTGGAAAATTTAAATTTCTCAGATAACCCCCCCACCCAACTAATAATGATGTCATAGAAACACCCACTCCTGTCCGGACCACATGCCATCACTAAGGCTCGGTTCACAACGCGGCGGTCCCATTGTTGTGCCATTTCCTGTGCGACTTTCATGCCAGACTTCTACAGAGTATTCTCAAAGGAACAATCTACAACGGGGGACAACTAGTGGCCAGGTAGGGAACTGCAGATGGAGGCGGAGTTAAAAGCAGAAGAGTCAATCAACTATTGAACTAAGTCCTAATTGTAAACCATCAACTTTGGCAAATAAATCTGTACTGGACGAGGGTGCGTTTCCCTACACATCATCCGGCCAATTGATGAATCTAAAATATACAACCTTTATTAAAATATATAAAATATAGGCTCAGCTGTAATTAATGCCTATTGGGGTGGAATGTTCTGCGTTTTATAGTCCATCATTTGCATTCCTCAAGACAGTGAGGTATTTTTGGTGGATATGGTGATGTATGGGGCTTATCCATGAGGCTGACATTCAAGCCCGTGGACGAGTGTACCCGTATTACCTATACTAATTCATTTTGTCCATGGGGGGGGGGGGGGGGGGGGGTAACTCATTTCCTTAACAGAGGTTATATATTGAAGCTGATAGGCTGATGATCAAACTACAGGACCTCTTTGGATGCCGTCACTTCACCTAAAACGGTACGGTGTTTGATTTGGTGTCATTAAGCAGTTGGATGGAAGGTAAGTATCTGCAATGGTATCCAATCCTATTGTTGTGCGCAGAACATTCCCCT